TTAAACCAAAATAACTGTAGAAAGCATCTAACAGATTAAACGAATAATGCACAAAAGCAAAGCCAATAAATCTGCCATTCTTCTTCCAATTAAGATCATGAGGTCTGACTACTATTACCCATAGTAGCATTAAATAAGAGGTCTATTTGTTCTGTTTGCTAATTTCAGCCAGTGATTTGAAAAGGGAATTAGAAGATACAGAGAAGATACATAATGTTTTCATTACAAAGGCACATACACACATATATTTGCTTTCTTTTATTTTGGTGTCTATGTATTCAAGGTACTTTATTACTTCTAATTTACTGTTTGGAGAAACATAATAAGATTAACTAGCTAGTTATTTTTTCTCTTTGTGCCATTGTCTATATTTATTAGGTTGATTAGCTTAGAGCACAGAAGCTTGCTTCAAGCAACATATTAGAGGAGAGGTTTAGTGAAAACATCTTCTTTTTGCTAGATGAAGATGACATCTTTCTAATCGAATAAGGAATATTTTAAACTAATTTAATGATTTCATTAATGAGATGCTGAAGGGGGAGTTCTGTTTTTCCTCTTAGTGCTTTTGCGTGAGTCATTGCAAAATTATTTATTTAAACACGTATAACAATATAAATGTATTACGTTCTATTTTATTGAGTAGAGCTTGTAAAGCTGAAGATGACGAAATGACATAACATTTCAAGATGCTTTCAAATTATCAAATATATGATAGTCACAAGTATAATAAATGATCTTCGCTAGAGACCAATCCCTGTGTAAATTCAGCAGTAGGTTATAACTGTGGTTGATTAACCCCTTCAGGATGGAGTCAATAGTGCACGTTCTGATCAAAACAAAACGTAAACAAAAACTGGAATTTGCACGATATGTCTGTTCAACCGTAATTCCCCGCTGTCACATTAAGTACACCCACACTTATTATATATCATTTTGTCCAGGAGAAACAGGGCTTTAATTTACCATTAACTATTCATATATGGAACATAATTTATTATGAATAAAATTTAAAAAATTGTGAGAAAAAAAGATTTTTTTTAAAATTTGTATTTCAGTCTGACATTTTAGCTGTGAATGTCATAATACTGTTAGGTTTTACTGCAAAAAAATGCACATATTTGTAATCAGCGATGTCTCATTAACAGGTTTTATGGTGTTTTGGAAAGTTACAGGGTCAAATATAGAACGTTCCATTTTCAAATTGAAATTTGCCAGATTAGTAATGTTACCTTTGAGACGGTGTGGTAGTCCAGGAATGAGAATTATCCCCATAATGGCATACCATTTGAAAAAGTAGACAACCCAAGGTATTGAAAGTGGGGTATGTTTAGTATTTTTTAGTAGCCACTTAGTCACAAACACTGGCCAAAGTTAGTGTTCATATTTGTTTTCGTGTGAAAAAAGAAAAAAACTAATATTTGGCCAGTGTTTGTGACTAAGTGGCTACTAAGAAAGACTCACAGAAACCTCCAATGTCTTGACCTAGAGCATTTCTCCACTAATCTCCAAACTCTCTTTTTACCTATCTCAAACCTCACCTGTCCTAGTTCTGCAACCTCCTTCTACAATTCCACCCTCTCCTCTCAACTAGACATCATGGCACCTTGTACATTTAAATGCCGCAGGCCCCCCCAACAACAACCCTGGCACACCAAGCTCACTCGATACCTCCAAATGCTCCAGAACTGCTGAACGCTGTTGGAGAAAGTCTCACTGTGCATCTGACTTTCTCCACTATAAATTTATGCTGATCTCATACAGCTTGGCTCTTTCCTCTGCAAAAGTTAATTACTTCAATACCCTCATAACCACGCTCTCCCGCGAACCCAAACGACTATTTCACACATTTAATTCTCTTCTTCGCCCTGCTGTTCCTCCTCCACCTACTAACTTGACCGCCTCAGACTTTGCAACTCACTTCACTGACAAGATCTCTACAATCAGAGAAGAGATATCTCATCTTTCTTCTTCCCCTTATAATACTTCCCCTAACTTCACTTCCTCTGCTGTTCTATGTTCATTCGCACCCACTACATTGGAAGAAGTTTCTGCTCTGCTCCAGTCCTCCCGCTCCACCACCTGCTCCCTAGATCCAATTCCATCGCATCTCATCCGTACTCTGTCTTCTTCTCTTTCTCCACCTCTCACTAAATTTCTCAATCTCTCTCTCTCCTCTGGTATATTTCCATTGCCCTTCAAACATGCAACTGTAACCCCAATTCTAAAGAAGCCCAATCTTGACCCTAAGTCCCCATCCAACTATCGTCCTATCTCGCTACTGCCTTTTGCATCCAAGATCCTTGAAAAAATTATGTATGCGAGATTGACAGACTTCATCGAGTCCAAGTCTCTGCTAAGCACTCTGTGGAAATGGCACTGACCAAAGTATCCAATGATCTACTCGCTGCAAAATCTCGTGGTCACTACTCTATCCTAATTCTCCTTGACCTGTCTGCGGCTTTTGACACTGATCATCAACAGCTTCTTCTCATCCTCCGCAATATTGGTCTACAAGATACTGCTCTCTCCTGGTGCTCCTCCTACCTCTCCCAGCGCTCTTTCAGTGTTTCTTTCTCTGGCTCTGCTTCTTCTCCCCAACTCCTCTCTGTTGGTGTCACCCAAGGTTCAGTCCTTGGTCCCCTACTGTTCTCCATCTATACTGCCTCCCTTGGTAAACTCATTAGCTCCTTTGGCTTCCAATATCATTTCTATGCAGATGACACCCAAATCTACCTGTCCTCTCCTGATTTCTCCCCGTCCCTCTTGACTAGTGTCTCTGACTGCCTCTCTGCTGTTTCTAACTGGATGGCTGCCCACTTCCTTAAACTAAACTTGACCAAAACTGAAATTCTGGTCTTTCAACCCTCAAGTGTTGTTACTCCTGTGTCTCCCTCCCTCCAAGTCAACAGTGTTCCCATCAGCTCCACCACGCAGGCTCGCTGCCTAGGTGTTCTCTTTGACTCCGACCTCTCCTTCAACCCTCATGTTCAATCTATCACCAAATCCTGTCATTTCCATCTAAAAAACATTGCACGCATCCGCCCCTACTTAACGCCAGATGCGACTAAGGTGTTGGTCCATTCCACTGTCCTTTCCAGCCTTGACTACTGTAATCCGCTTCTCAGTGGTCTTACGTGCTCCCAACTAGCACCGTTACAGTCCATAATGAATGCGGCGGCAAGGCTCATCTTCCTGTCCGCACGCACCTCCAATGCCTCACCCTTCTGTCAATCCCTACATTGGCTTCCTATAAAATCTAGAGCTCAATTTAAAATTCTGGTTCTTGCTTTCAAATCTCTACATAATGCTGCTCCCACCTATCTATCCTCCCTAATACACAAGTATGTCCCGTCTAGGCCCTTACGATCTGTTGAAGACTTACGTCTATCTTCTGTCCGTACTCCCACCTCTGATGCTCGCCTTCAAGATTTCTCGAGGGCTGCACTGTTCCTGTGGAACTCGCTTCCCTCCTCCGTTAGATGCTCACCCAGTCTCCACTCCTTCAAAAAATCGTTAAAAACCCACTTCTTCATAAAAGCGTATCAATTAAACTGTTAATAGCTCCTGACTGATTCCTCTTCTGCAACTGTCACTAGTCTAATACTATCCTTACCTTTTTGTGTCATTTTACCCCACTCCCTCTAGCAGGTAAGCTCATTGAGCAGGGCCCTCAACCCCTCTGTTCCTGTGTGTCCAACTTGTCTGGTTACAACTACATGTCTGTTCGTCCACCCATTGTAAAGCGCTGCGGAATTTGACGGCGCTTTATAAATATAATAATAATAATAATAATAATAATATATATAAATACATTTCTATTTTAATTTTACACATGTCTAATATATTTTTTTTACAGCTCCCCACAGCCAGCTATAGGGGGCCATGTGATCACTCTTTGAGAGCGATCACATGGTCCCCGGGGGTTTCTTTTGCCATGGGAGGGCTGCCTGGGCTCTCAGGCAGTCCTCCCGAAGAGGATCGCGGCAGAGGTAAGTATCCCGGGTGCTCTGGGGGCTGCAGACATTACAGCGTTCTATGCCGCCGCAACGGCTTTAAAGCCCATTTAAATGGGGACGACATAGAATGCCGTAACAGCGTTAAGGGGTTAAGGAAGGAGAGAAAGGTGGCATCACATAGATAATATATAAAATGAAATATAAGCAATTAGTAATATAGAAATAAACAATGGCATTTAATACAGAGAACAATAAAAATAATAATAGGTATGTAAAAAATATATATATCTACCAATTATTTTTATTTTTATTGTTCTTTCTCTGTATTATATGTCATTGTTTATTTCTATATTACTACTTGCTTATATTTCATTTTATATATTATCTCTGTGGCGCCAACTTTCTCTCCTTCCTTATACCTATATACCTATAGGGCCTGCAAGGGAGCCTTATCCTTTAGGTGTACTGCCTTTATTTAAGTTTTTAAGCGCTGATCCTTCTGTACACTTTGTGGTTGATTAAGAGAAAAGTGTTTGTCAGGACCAGCATGGAAAAAGAACAACTGATTGTTGGATCTCCAAAATTAAAGGTTGGTCTTATGATTTCAGTCATTAACCATTTATTATAAACCAAAAAAGAAGATTCGGGATATAGCTGTGTAAATCTACAGAAGGAATATAAAACAGAACATAGTGTGATATTGTTAAAGATACAATATTATATGCGCAACAATCTTTTGCACTCACAAGATGTAGATGATAAAAGCGCTCTTAGGGTGCCTCCCCTAGAATGATGGGGGGTTAGCTGATATTGCTTGTCACCTCTGGATCCTTGTTCCACCAAAAAGACATCCACAGGTCAGGGTTCAGCAATAAAAAATTAGTTTATTTAAATAAAAGGTGTAGTCACCATATTGAGCATAGGATATGAATAGCGTAAAATAGTCCTACGCGTTTCGTTCTATAAGAACTTCCTCAGGGACCACAATTAAAAACAATCAGCATGTATCAATATACAATACATAAATAAACATATCCTACCATAAGAACTTCCTCAGGGACCACAATTAAAAACAATCAGCATGTATCAATATACAATACATAAATAAACATATCCTACCATAGGATATGTTTATTTATGTATTGTATATTGATACATGCTGATTGTTTTTAATTGTGGTCCCTGAGGAAGTTCTTATAGAACGAAACGCGTAGGACTATTTTACGCTATTCATATCCTATGCTCAATATGGTGACTACACCTTTTATTTAAATAAACAAATTTTTTATTGCTGAACCCTGACCTGTGGATGTCTTTTTGGTGGAACAAGGATCCAGAGGTGACAAGCAATATCAGCTAACCCCCCATCATTCTAGGGGAGGCACCCTAAGAGCGCTTTTATCATCTACATCTTGTGAGTGCAAAAGATTGTTGTGCATATAATATTGTATCTTTAACAATATCACACTATGTTCTGTTTTATATTCCTTCTGTAGATTTACACAGCTATATCCCGAATCTTCTTTTTTGGTTTATATTATGCATGATACAGGTTGCTCGTTTGGGTAGCGACCTAGGGAGGCTGTTACACATCTTTATAAGCTAAGTATTATTGCTTTTTAATTTGTCATTTTGTTTGTATATTGTTTAAATTAACCATTTATTGTCAGCTATGTATGTACTGAATTGTGAAATGGTAAAAGTAACTACTACATTTGTTTGCACTAGTTAAATTTTTTTTATAAAACATCCCTCAATATTGTTGTGATAACAAAAATCCCTCTTAAGGGGACACAGTAGGCACCCAGACCACTTCAACTCATTGCTGTAGTCTGTGTGCAATGTCACGATTGCCCTTAGATCTGCAGTATTAAACATTGCAGCTCCAGAGATACTGCAATGTTCACATTGCAGCTCTGAGTCTGCCCACAGTCTGTCCACAGTCTGTCCACTAGCAGGCTTCCTGAATCAAAACAGACCTTTGGTCCGGTATCTGACGATGGACGTCTTCATGCTCTGCAAGAGAACTTCTACCGTCAGATTTTTCCAATGCTTTCCTATGGGGAAAAACACAGAGAGCAATACAGCACTGAAGTAGATTACGGAGGGAGTTGAAACTCTTTTGCTGATTACCTGTTGAGACTTTATTTATCTGTTTGTTTTTGCTGTGTTTTTCAGGCTTTTTGCCTTTTTATTGTTATCACTGCTTATTTTGTCCCTCGTTTTTATTTATTATTCAATAAATGTATTGTATACTTACCTTTTGCTGTTCTCCTTTAAGGATACCACTTCTAGCCTTTTTAGGCACCCTGGATCTGATTATATAGAGCCTGGGATGGCTCTATATCCTGTGAGTGTTACTCTACATAGGGGATGATATTTTCTGTTATACAGTCTTGTTATATGTCTTGTATTTTTTTATATTTTTTTTTTAGATTCTTCCAGTCTTGAACTTCTACCTTTGTTTCTATTGTCTGGTGTAGTATTTATGTTTTATTCCTATGGTGAGGTCTAATGCATGCACTGCATTTGCCATGCATGCGCAATAGCGTCCGCTCATGGCTGGCTGTCGGAGGGGACAGAGGCAGATCCCTGCACCGAGGGACATTGGTGCTGGGAAAAGGTGAATAAATAAAGGGTTTTTATTCACCTTGGCAGATTGGAGGGACAAGAGAGGGGGGAGACAGAGGGAGCAATGGTGCCAGGAATACAGCTTTGTGTTCCTAGCACTATACTATTCCTTTAACACCACTCACATCTATACAAGCTGCCACTACCAACGCAATTATAAACAAGGTACCTTAGGTTACATCAGCCAAATTAGAGTAAAAATTCACAAAGCACAGTTTAGCAGAAATGTGTAAGAAACTACAGTACTGTTTTATTAGGCTCTTTTGTAATGTGATTATACCAGACAAAAGTAGAATTTAATAACGAAAGGGACAGTTATTATGAACAAAACTAGTCAAAGTGTATACATATAAAAATAGGTTACAAACACATTTTACATATTTCAACAAACAGATAAAATAAAAAGGGATTTTCTTTTTTTCAGAAATCCCTGATACTTATTATACTAGCAAAGTATCAGTTTCTCTGTCCCAAGAGAGCTTTTGGTGCGGAAAATGAAAATCCACTACAAATTTGATTTCACTCTCAAAATTGATTACACAATTCTTTAGGCTTCATCTGTAGTTAAATCCACTTTTATGCTTAGCTTGGCCCTCCACAGGGACAATGGCAGGTGTGCAGGCATTCCAGTTTTATGAGGGCAATTAATGCATTTCAAAATCTGGATGAAAATACACAATATTATATATTAATGCGTTATTAAGGTGTTTCTGAACAATTTGTAGCTAGATCAGATTGTTTCAGTGAATCAAGACAATTAGTTTGAGACCAAATATGACAAATATTTCATACAAAATGCCCCAAAATACCATGCAGAATTCTTCTAAAGCATGAAATGAATAACACTTAAAGGGACACTATAGTCACCACAACAACTACCACTTATTGTATTTGTTCTGGTGAACATAATTATTCCCTTCAGGCTTTTTGCAGTAAACACAGTCTTTTGGGAGAAAAGGCAGTGTTTACATTACAGCCTAGGGATACCTACACTGATCACTTCTCAGGTGGCTACTAAAGGTGCTTTGTGTGGCAGTGCTGCACATTGTTCAGCACTGCCATTCAGTGTCTCCAACCTCTGCATGGAGACACTGAGCCTTCCTCATAAAGATGCATTGATTCAATGCATCTCTATGAGGAGATGCTGATTGATCAGGGCTGTATGCTGGCTCTGCCCCTGATCTGCCTCCTTGACAGTTTCAGCCAATCCAGTGCTGTCCTATGGGAAAGCATTGTGATTAGCTCAGAGGAACACTTCTGATGATGTCAGCCAAACAGGCAAATCAGGGGCAGAACCAGCAGCAGCAGTCTGGAATAAAAGTAAGATTTGACTATATTTACAGGGACAAGGGAAGGGGGGAGTGGAAAGGGGCTAGATGGTGTTTTTAACACTATAGTTTCAGGAATACATGAAAGTGCTCCTTTAACTGAAATTAAAATATATAATTCTTTCAAATCACAAAGGTATGTTACCTGTCAAGCCCTTTCTGACAGCTTATCTGATAAGGTCCAATTATAAATATTATTGAAATTCAGTGATCAGATCATACATTTGTTGCATTATTTGATCATGCAGGAAAATAAAATACGTCTTTAATGCTATACCACTTCAAGGTATTTTCTTGACACCAACAAAATGGAACTCATTGCTTTCCAGACACAGTTTGCCTCATAGGTTTTAATTAAAGGTAGCCTAATTAACCCTTACCATGCTGTAAGCAATCATGCCACCTCTATTAAACAATTAATACACATCACATTAATTGACAATATTTTTACAATGGACAATGAATCTTGCCCATTGTTCATGACAATAGGCATGGAGGCTACTCAAGGAAACGTGCAATTCGTTTCAGTCCAAAATGAAATTCAGACGAATTTCAGCAATTTGGAAATTTGGATGCTATCGAATGTCCGAATTGCTGAAGTGCCGATTTGACGAAATTTGGAAGTACCGCACCGAACCGAATTGCCGAAGTCTCGAATTTCGGAAGTGCTGAACTGCTTCGGATTTCTGAAGTGTCAAAACAGGAGAGGGAGGTACATGAAGTGAATTATAACAGGAATCTAACCCTAGCCCTACCTCTAACTCTATCTCTAACCCTAACCCTTACCCCAACCTTCCCCTAACCCTACCCCTAACCCTACCACTACCACTAACCCTTACCCTAACCCTAATCCTTACCCCAACCTTCCTCTATGACACTAACCCTAGTAGGGTTAGCGGTCGGGTTACGGGGTAGAGTTACGGGGTAGGGTTAGGGTAAGAGGGTAGGGTTAGGGTTATAGGGTAGGGGTAGGGTTATAGAGAAGGGTTAGGGGTAGGTGTAGGGTTAAGGGGTAGTATTAGGGTTAAGGGTAGGTTTAGGGTTCAGGGTAGGGTAAGGGTTCGGGGTAGGGTTAGGGTTATGGGATAGGTTTAGGATTAAAGGGTAGGGTAAGGGTTAGGGGTAGGGTTAGGGTTATGGGATAGGTTTAGGAGGTAGGGTTAGGGGTAGGGTTCAGGGTAGGGGTAGGATTAGAGTTAGGGTTAGGGTTATGGAATTACCAAAGTCTTGAAGTTCCGAAGTGCCGAATTACCGGAGTCCTGAATTTCAGAAGGGCAAAAACAAACCGAAGTGTTGAAGTGCTGAATTACCGAAGTTCCGAATTTCAGAAGTGCCGAATCAAACATAAATTTTTGCCCATGCACATCCCTAGTCAATGTAGTCAACCAATCTATAGTTCAACATGAGCAACAAAGGTTCAGTAATGGTAATCAGTTCAAAAGATTACGGCAGGTAGCAAGAGTCAGAAAAACACATGAAGCTGCTGTCTGGATGGAAGCATTTTGGCTTCGTAGCATACTAAGACACTTTAGTTTAGTATAGCAAAAGATTTTTTTATTTTTGTTTATTTCTTAAGCCATCTCACCACTGCATGATATCTATACATATCTGCATGATGTTCTCTTCACACCCCCACCTTTAGCTGCTTAGTTTATACTTACCTAGTCAGGATTACTATGAGGTGTCATTCATAGTCTGTTATTCCTCACTAGTCTCTGTTATAGCAATACTTTTTACATGCATAAGGGATATTAAGGCATTCTTTTTGACTTTATTATATTACCTATAGAAAATTCACAGTGCACTTTCAATTATTCTCCTATTGACCATTTTTATTTATTTTTAGGCTGATGTTGCCTGTTTGTTCTTTTGTTGCATGTATGATGCTGTCATACCTGTATGTGCATTGTGCAAAAATAAAGAATTTCAAAAGAAAAAGTCAGGAAAACAAGGTACATAAGATCAGGAACTCAATAACAAGGTGATATTAAGGTTAGCTCTGTAGTAAGTGAGCAATGTAACTTGGGTTTGTTTTTTTATAGTGGTTGTCACAGAAATGATGCCAATGTCACTGTGAAATTAATTTTATAGTGATATAAGTGTTTGTGTAACAAGAGTGATGCAATGAAAATCAATGTTCTCTCTGTTAAAGGATATGTGGCACTGCATGTTGAGGTTAGACCTGTTTTGCCATGTATGCGCGCAGATTTGGTGTTGGTGATTATATGAGAATCTG